AAAAAAATAATGTTCGGGGTGGACAACCCTTACCACTTAGGGGTATGAAAAATAGATAGTAGCCGATTCTCAGACCTACTAAATATGCATATAAAATTTCATAAAAATCGGTCAAGCCATTTCAGAGGAGTATGGTAACTAACATTGTGACATAAGATTTACATTTATTTATACAATATTTATGAATACATACAAATACATAAATACACATCATCATCATCATCATCATCAGCCCACTGCAGTCCACTGCTGGACATAGGCCTCTCCCAAAACACGCTACTGGGCACGATCTTCAGCCCTTCACATCCAGTTACATACACATACAATTATGTATTTATACAAATCAATAGTAAAACTTCACCTGATTTTAAATATACATATCACAGAGTTGATTGATTATGATTTGATTATGTGTAATTTTAACTCTGATTATGATGATTTCTTTTTTATTGTATACTTCGAAGTTGGGTTTCATTTACATTAATATGAAAATAGTAACTATACAGATGCTGCTCTGGTAATATTAGGGATATGAAAGTTTGTTTTAGGAATGTATATATATATGTATAAAAAGTTAATACGAGGCATTGAAAAGATATTCTTTTCAATGCCTCGTATTAACTTTTTGATAACCAGACTCTAGAACCGTCACTACTAGGCTTCCAAACTCTATTCATTGCCTGATGATGCCTCGTTTAGAGGCGAAACACGTGTCGCAATATACATAGGTCTAGATCCAATAACGGTCGGAAACTTGTTACAAATGGAGAAGATCATAACGCTTCCAGTAGCGATGGTCAGGTTTCCGCACTGAATATTTGTGGTCTCGCACATTCTAAAGGTAGCGAAATTAAACAAAATATTATAAATCCATTAAGTAATGAAATGGAATTTCGCAATGTAATTGCGAAATTTTGTAAGTATGGATGGATGTTTGTTACTTTTTCCAGCAGAAACTACTGAACGGATTTTGTTGAAACTTTACAGTAATATAGCTTTTAAAAATAACACATAGTCTACATAAATTTCACGCGGAAGAAATGTATCATAAATTTCTAGTACAATAATATTAAACATATTCCAAAATCTGTTTCAATAGAATGGAATAGAAAACTCTTTATTCAAATAAATTTACTTTAAAGCACTTTTGAATAGACATTAGTTTTTTTTATCTACCGCTCATTCGGAAAGCTATCTCATCACAAGAAGAACGAACATGAAACTTGCGTGTTGCTCTTTTAAATAATATTGTTGTAACTCTACACTTTTGAGGTGAAATGTGTAGCATATATACCAACACTAATTTATTATTAAAATAAATGAGAGAACGAGAGACGATAAAGATATAGCCAACTAAATAAGATTAAATCAGTCGTAGTGATTAGAGCAGACCCTACAAGAAGCACTCGCACACAAATTTGACGGATCACTGCGCTCGACCATATTTTAGGGACCCCGATGATCCGGCCCACTACGCCGTCACAAGTCTGACCCTGTTAGTGACCATGAAAATTCAATAGATGGAAAAACCTACTATACAAATAATAATAAACAAAATAATTTTGCACATCTCATAATAGGTACTCAGACAAATCTCATTTCACGATATTACGCAAACAAAACACTCGATGAAAATCGTAAGCCTCAAAAATCTTGCGGAATGAAATTCAAACAAAAATATCACGCACCAGAAACAAAACAGGGCACAATCAGATTTAAAAGCGTCGGCAGTCAAAAAAGCGATGGCAAATAACATTTCTTATTGTCATTCACTCCGCGATCTCCATTCCCCGTCCACGCCAGGGTTGCCAGTCTTAAAGGTTTTATACCCTCTTATACAGGATTAATTTTTTCCTTTAAACAATATTATTTTCAAATATTCCAATGCAAATACTGTTAATCATACAAATACCTTTTATAACATCATCACCCCACTACAATCCACTGTTAGACATAGGCCTCTCCCAAGGCATGCTGTTAGGCCCGATCTTCAGCCCTTCGTATCAAAACGAAAATGGGGACACTGCAAACCTGCAGAAGGATTTTTAATGGATGATAATGGAATGATGCTACAGGCTGGCGAAGTACTAATGGATGATAATAGACTGAGTCTGAAATCAGGTCAGTTAGCAAATCGTGACGAATGTTCCAGAACTTAACCACCATGGATTCCGGAGACTACCGTCCGGAGTTTAAGCTATTAATCTCTATTATTATCTCTATCTCCTTCCCAGGACTTTCCTTCTCATACCTATACATTTTTTACCAAATATTAGAACAAAAAAATAATTCTTTTCGTATGCGTACCAGAGTCGTCGCAAGGTGCCAACCCTGATCCACCCCAACGCCCCTAATTCCTCCCCATCCCGCTGTTTGCGTTCGAAAGAACTCGGAAAGACGATTAAAGTCATAAGTGGTTCGGACTATATCCATTTGAATGAATGTTAAGTTTCGTTTCTATTTTTTTTTTCTTGGGGAAATCCGTCATGTAGACCCGCCCGTTCCAGGGGTAACGAGCGGGTACTGACGGACTCCTACCGGCTAAAACCCCAAGTACCTCTACTGCTTATGGCCGTAGCGCCAGGTGTGCGCGAGCATCCTTCCGCAGCTCCGATGACGGGGAAGTTTCGTTTCCATAGTTCAACTTGTTATAGAGTAATATTAAAATGCATATCCATCTTCCACTGCTAGTCGCATATTCTTTTTTTGTCAGCATTTATTTCAAATTTATTTCAATCGGCTTCATTTAGTATTTCTAATTTAACATTATCCTTACTACTATTATTAATACGAAAGTAACTTTGTCTCTCTGTCTCACTTTCACGCTAAAACTACTGAAATGATTTTAATGAAATTTGGCACACAGATACTCTAGACCCTGAGAAAGGACATAGGCTTATTTTTGATGCGAACTTTTCTCTTGTTTAAAAGAAGGTAATACTCACACTGGTATTTTAAAACTTTAGCTGAAATGGTAGATCGTATGTTGGTGTATTATGATGATGTAATAAGGAGTCTTCTTGAATCTTATTTTTAATTAAAAGTATTTTTATTTTATATATTTTATATAGTTTTTGTTATTTTTTTTTTTGAAAAATAAAGTTACATTCCACGCGGACGAAGTCGCGGGAACAGCTAGTCGTGAATAAATATTTGTTACTTACCAACTTCAAAGGTCAAAGTTATATTAAAAAAATAACTTACATGTTTATATAATAATTTCAAAGGGCGATACCTTTTGTTCGCGTATCTTAAAGGAAACTTATGAAATTCCCTCCCTTATTACATTGACTACGTTTTTTACGGTTCGGATACAACCCCTATCCCCATTGTCGTAATGAAATATTATTATTATGTTTTCGGTTTTATCTGTACACTGTGACGTGGTCGAGTGGAATGAGTAGTCATGCTCACTTAAATGTCCAGACATGTGGCGGCGTGGTGGGCCGGGACATTGGGCTCCCTAAAATATGGTCGAGCGCAGTGATGGCTGGCTCATCCGTCACACTCGTGAACGAGTGCTGCTTGTAGGGACTGGTCTGCTCTTATCACTACGACTGATTTAATCTTATTGTGTTTTTATATTTGAGCCTTAATAAATTAGTGCTGGTTGGTAGTTTGTATTCACACGTTTCGATTTGTAAAATGTGAACTTACAAGGATTGTTTAAAAGAGCAACACACAAGTTTCTTGCTTATTCTTCTTGTGATGAGACAGCTTTCCGAATAAGCGGTAGATTTAAAAAAATGTTGACTATTCAAAAGTGCTTAAATTAAGTTTATTTGAATAATTGATTTTCTATTCTATTCTATTCTATTCTATTCTATCGATTTTGGACTCGTAACACGTTACGACTATTATTTGAGCTGGGGTAGTCAGCATTGTCAATTGTGGATGTTGTTCTGTATATTTGGAATCCAATTGTATTGATTCTTGGTTTTATATAGATTTTCAATCGATTATAATAATAATAATCTCAGGACTATTCACACAGCGCCATCTAGACCTAAGTTAAACTAGCTAAAGCTTGCAATATGGATAAAGATAATACATATCGCAATTAAAAAATATTATTTCAGTCGAAGGGTGTCCGCGATTTCATCCTTTTTTAATTTCAATAAAAAATGTTCTCTGTGTGTTATTCTGATATATAAGCTATATTACTGAAAAGTTTAATCAAAATCCGTTAAGTAGTTTTTGCGTGAAAGAGTAACAAACTTTCATACCCACAATCTTTCGCGTTTATAATACTAACTACCCCATCTAACTTCGTCTGCATCATACTTACTTGACATTTTATTCATCATTATATTTCGCCCAATTTACATAATATCTTTTTAAATTATCGCCTATGTGTTATTCTGATGTATAACTGATATTACTGTAAAGTTTCATTATAATCCGTTCAGTAATTTTTGCGTGAAAGAGTAACAAACATCCATACTCACATACTTTCACGTTTATAATAGAAATAGAAATAGAAATAATCTTTATTCAAATAAACTCATTACAAGCACTTTTGAATAGTCATATTTTGATTCTACCACTCATTCGGAATGCAGATTCATCACAAGAAGAATGAGCAAGAAATTTTTTGTGTATTGCTCTTTTTAATATATGTTTTTTTTATATAAATAATTACAGTATAACAAGTAAGAGGCATGCGATAATCAACATAGAAGTCGCTACGCACTCATTATTAATATAATCACATAATATTGTCAGTGCTATAGATTTAAAGTTTTTCTATAAAAACATTATTATCGTTAACGAATTCTTCAATTTTATAGTAAGCTTTTTTCCAAAGGAACTGTTTTATTTGATATTTAAATCTTTTTTCTGGCAGATTTATAACAGACTCTGGTATAATATATTAATAATATTAAGATTTTATATTAAAATGCACCCAAGCTGCTTAGCTGCTGACGTAGGTGAGACTGACCCTGATACCCCCGCAGAATTTTTTTACAGTCCACCATAAAATCTTCTTTTCTTTCCAGCCGTGTCGTGCCAACGTCTCACTTCTAGAAGATGATATATGGAGGGAACAGCAGTGCAGTGCTCATGACGGGACCCCGTACGGCGGAGAACTGTTCCATTGGCGAGCACATCGTGATGATGCAGAGCCCTGCGCCCTGACCTGTCGTGGAACTCCTCAGCATTCTGGACAAAGACCTGAACCGGTAAATAACACATATTTGACCTCTATGTTATGTATTATACATATAAACCTTCTTCTAGAATCACTCTATTTATTAAAAAAAACACCTTCAAAATCCGTTGCGTAGTTTTAAAGATAAGCATACATATGGACGAACAGACAGCGACAGCGACTTTGTTTTATATGTGTATGTTTTATATGCAATAAACTTTTATTGTTAAGTTATAAATGAATATTTATTTAAAAGATTTTATATTACTAGAACAATGAAGGTAACTATAAATCTAAATAACCGGTAAATTAACATCAAAATATGTCTACTATTTTCATCAGAATGACTTGTCTTATATAATTATATTGACAGCCTCGGTGGTCTAGTGGTTTAGCACACCGCTTTACTATACGATGGTCGTGGGTTCGATTCCTCGCACGGTACAAACATTTGTGTTCTTGAGTATGATTGTTTGTATCGATCTAGGTGTTTTATATGTATAATATGTATTTATTTACAAAAAAAAATGTATCCATGTATTTATATCAGTTGTCTAGTACTCATAACACAAGCTCTGCTTAGTTTGGGACTAGATGGCGCTGTGTGAATTGTCCTGAGATATTATTAGTAATTAAATTGCCTGCCTCGGTGGTGTAGCCGTTTAGCACACCTTACTATTGATGGTCGCGAGTTTGATTCCTCGCACAGTACAAACACTTGTATATCATGTGTATGATTGTTTGTATCGGTCTGGATGTTTTCTATGTACACTAAGTATGTATTTATAAAATAATGAAGTATTTATATCAGTGTCTAGTACTCATAACACAAGCTCTGCTTAGTTTGGGACTAGATGGCGCTGTGTGAATTGTCCTAAAATATTATTATTTATACTATTATCCCAAAACAGATTATTCAAATAGATTTAAGAGCTTTAATAGTCGCGGATTCGATTCCTCGCACGGTACAAACATTTGTATTTATGAGTAAGATATTATATTAGTATGTATTTTCTATGTATCAATATGTTATATATGTATTTACAAAAACAAGCAACTCTGTATTTACCCCGTGTTGTTATTTTACCCGTATATATATATATATAATAAACTGAATTTTCCAGGGGTATTATTAATATTAATATGTCATCTGATATATAATTATTTGTATAAGAATTGTAAGTTCCTATATGGCGATTTAGAAGTGAGTAGTATTCCAAGTTAGTGCAAGATTTTCTTTTTACACAAAAAACACGTACCAGAACGGTATAAAAAAAAATACAATAGGTAAATAAAATAAATTGACACCTAATAACAATAACCGGATATCCCCTGTCGGTTACATAATATCTAAACAAAAGTGTCCCTCAGGCTGAAATTTAGAAAGGTAGACCGAGGCGTAACTCGACGAAAGTGTACTCCTTTGGGATATCGTCCTAACTCAGTTTTATGGTATATAGGTGTTAGTGAAATCTCTCTTGATACGACTTGATATTAGAAAGGGGTGTTTGTGTTTCTTTTGTATATATATATTTGAGGACAAAATGGGAATCGTGTCGTATCAAGAATTAAAGAGCATGATGGAAGATCGCGGAAAGTGGCGAAAGTGAAAGAGCTCCACCGACAAGAGCGTAGCTCTTATGAATGAATGAATGAATATATATTTTGTACTAGCGCGGTAGCTACTAAACGCGTTTATAATATTAGTAAGATAATTCTGTTGATTACATAAATAAATATAAATTGTACGTAGTTTATATATAGACTAGCTTTTGCCCGCGGCTTCGCTCGCGTTAATTTATCCCCTTAGGTGTGGAATTTATCAAAATCCTTTCTTAGGGGATGCCTACGTCATAGTAGCTTTATGCAGGCAAAGTGTCAGCCCGATCGAGTTAAAATTGACGAAGTTTCGTATAAACTTTCATCCCCTATTTTATCCCTTTGGGGGTAGAATTAATCAAAATCCTAGCGGATGCCTACGTCATGACATCTACCTGCATGCCAAATTTCAGCCCGATCCGTAAAGTGTCACTTCATCTCGAATCTTCCAGCAAACATATATATATCGCAAAATCGTCACGACACTATGTGTCTGTTTGTTTGTTTTGTATGTTAAGGTTTCACTTATAAATTGGATCTTTAGGATGAAATCACAGTATCGTAGTTCTCGCGAAAGTTTGTGAGTGTGGATGGTATGTTTGTTATACTTTCACACAAAAACTACTAAATTTATTTTAATGAAATTTTACAATAATATAGCATAAATATCAGAAGAACACATAAGCTAAAAACACGAGGGTGACAGTTTTATGGTATATAGATGTTAGTGAAATCTCTCTTGATACGACTTGCTATTAGAAACACAAAAACCTTGGTTTTTTTTTATTTCTTTTGTATAAGTTTGCAAATAGCCATATACCTAGTACATTTAAAAATAAAAATATAAAATTCAAATTTGGAATGTCACGAATAGAATAGATGTTGTTTTGTTTTATTTTATACTATCTGCATTCGCGACTTCGTGGAATTGAACCTTATTTTTCTAAAATAAAAGTAGCCTAAGAATTGAATCATCTCATTTTTCAATATTATCTGAAATAAAGTGCGTAGCGATTTCTATGTTGATTATCGCATGCCTCTTACTTGTTACACTGTAATTATTTATATAAAAAAAAACATCTTTTAAAAAGAGCAACACACAAGTTTCTTGCTCATTCTTCTTGTGATGAATCTGCATTCCTAATCTATTCAAAAGTGCTTGTAATGAGTTTATTTGAATAAAGATTATCTCTACTAAGAATAGAATAGATAGAATAGAATAGAATAGAAGAATCATAGAAAATCAAATAAACTTAATTTAAGCACTTTTGAATAGTCATAACAATTTGTTTTTTATCTACCACTCGTTCGGAAAGCTGTCTCATCACAAGAAGAACGAGCAAGAAACTTGTGAAGTTAAGTTTATTACTAATCTAACTTCATGTTTATTAAAAACGTTAACTTAATAATTATTGTAACTTTACATTTTTAAATCGAAACGTGTGACAATAAGACAGATAAATGTGACAGATAAAATAGAAATAATCTTTATTCAAATAAACTTAATACAAGCACTTTTGAATAGTCATGTTTTTGATTCGGAACGCAGACTTTTCATAAAAAGAATGGTGTAATGGAAAATTGTTATGTTTTCTCCAGACGGTGTCATTGGATGATGATGATCGGGTGGTGGTTGCTGTGCTGGCTGCCAGGGTCTCTGATGGCACAAGATGCAGAACGGGAAGTCTGGACATGTGCATCGATGGGCGGTGTCAGGTAAGATTTATTTTAATAACAGTTATTTACTTTTTAATTCAGGCTACATGGCCCATAATATAAATACCTTATAGACTAACATACATAAGAAATAATAAACCTTTTTAATATTATAAATGCGAAGGCAACTCTGTCTGTCTGTCTCGCTTTCACGCTAAAACTACTAAACCGATTTAAATGAAATTTGGTACACAGATAGTCTAGACCCTGAGAAAGGCTAATATAAGAAGAAATATAGGCTACTTTTTAATGCAAAATAAGGGTTGTAAGAGGTTGAAACGGGAGATGTAATATTGTTTTGAAAATATTTTTGATTTTAATTTTTTATTGTTTGGTTATATACATAATATGCGGGTGAAATCGTGGGCTCAACTATATAAATTTAAATTGTCTGTATGGTCACGGCACTGACGACGGCAATCTGAGTTTGAATCTGATACTGGTAATGAACGAATGTCATAAATTGATTTGGTTTGTTTTCGGTGTCCATCAGTCAGAAAAATACATAAATAGCTTTTGTGGCAGCCAGATTTAAAATCAAAGCTTCATTCAAATCGAATGAACGAATGATAGAACAAATTATAATTGAATGAAAGAACGAATGAATGAACGAACGAATCTTGAATAAATTATTGTATAAATATTTGTAACAATACAAAATATACTGTTTTAAACTTGACGCGATCATTATTTATACGTATAATTAGTAAAAATCACGGGATCTTACCACGTTTTATATTTATTTGCTGAGTTCCCGATATTTCGGCAGTGTTACAACCACCATGATCACGGGTAAACTGAAGAGCAGCGGGTAGATGGAAAATGAAATCTTTTTATGGGCAGACATATGCGTTCCCTCAACTCAGCAAATAAATATAAAACGTGGTAAGATCCCGTGATTTTTACTAATTTATTGCTAGTATTTACATAACCTAATTGTACAACTAAGAACCTAAAATTAAAAAGCTTAAAAAAAAATATAATATGATGACTAAAATATATTATTAAAAGGGGTCCCTTTAGGCAACGTTCCGAAGATACTGGCAGCGTTCCCTCTTTGAATAGCTAGACTAATTCTTTGTCCAAGGTAGCTGCCGGCTCTTCGGTCTTCTGTGATGTCGACTAACCTTTTCGTTATTTCTTTGAAAAGGCTTATAGCGCTAAGACCCCACATTCACACGCCGCACCAGCTCTGTTGTTGGTTCCATGTAGATGGGATGGGGCCAGCGTGTCTGCACAGGTTGCATCCCATTGCATCCCGGCCCATCTTCCATCAAACTCATACCGTCCGATCTCTTACCATCGTCTCTTGCAATACCAGTCGGCTCATAATTATACTAATTATATGTATAAACAATACAAAATGTCAAAATAACGCTTTCTTGAGCGAGAAAATTTCGTTCAAGCAAATTCCATAAAACGGTTTGTCATGTCTAATATCATCTTCAAATTAATTGTCAACGCTAATTGCTTTTTAACTGTTTACATTTCCGGTTCAGTAACACAATACCTAAGACAACATACTATATGTCAAGTTAAACGAACAATGTCATTGTGCCCAGGAATTCCTTACACGCTTCTAAGCAAAATTGCTGCGCGCCATTGTCTTTCCTACTTACGATGTTGTGGCTACGTGAATGAACCCGTCTATGTGTATCTATATATATCTACTAGCTTTTGCCCGCGGCTTCGCTCGCCATAATATATTCTCTTAGGGGTGGAATTTATCAATCCCCTTAGGGGTAGAATTTATTAAAATTATTTCTTAGGAGATGCCTACGTTTTAGTTGCTTTATGCATGCAAAGTCTCAGCCCGATCGGTTTAAAATTGACAAAGTTTCATACAAACTTTCATCCCCTATTTTATACCCTTGCGGGTAGAATTAATCGAAATCCTTTCTTAGCGGGTGCCTACGTCATAACATCTACCTGCATGCCAAATTTCAGCCCGATCCGTCCAGTGGTTTGGGCTGTGCGTTGATAGATCACTATGTCAGTCACCTTTGAGTTATATATATTTAGATATATATAATAAACATTTACCTTGTATAATATAACTGACGGCCTCGGTGGTTTAGCGGTTGAACACACCACTTTACTTCCGATGGTCGCGGCTTCGATTACTCGCACGGTGCAAACATTTGTATTAATGAGAATTATTGTGTGTAATGGTTTAGGTATTTTCTATATATATTATGTATTGTATTTATAAAAAAAAACATCTATGTATTTGTATCAGTTGTCTAGTACCCATAATACAACATTTGTATTATTGAGTATGATTGTTTGTATCAGTCTGAGTGTTTTCTATGTATATTATGTATGTATTTACAAAAAAAGTATCTAAGTATTTATATCAATTGCCTAATACCCATAAAACAAGCTCTGCTTACCGTGGGATTAGATGGCGAAATATTAATTGTCCAGGGTTATTAATTAAAAAAAAACTGCACCACGGGACCCGTGCCTCGGAAATATCAAAGAAGAATTGATCGACAGAGAAGACTGCTATTCATTTAAAAAGAGAAACGAACAAGTTGTCAATCAACATTATACCATAAATATCTATTAACAAAGTCACATTTAATTTGTACAAACCATTTTTATTAACACCGTCGAATTTTATGTAAATGCACCCATTATTCAGCGTCTCGCTGAAGCTCATAACTTTCAGGAACATTGACCTCCATTACACCGTATAGCAATCTCGTTAGTTACATAAAAATAAACTCGTTATCTACAAAGCTATGTATCTACCTTACAGTGTGAACTAGTTCGCCCGTGCTGTGAATATTTAATGGTCTATTGTCCCAAATCATAAACTGACAGCGATTTATCTATCACTATTTGTCTCTCAGTGCGGTAACGTAGTGAGAAATATAACAAAACTGTCGCCACGCTGTTACGTCTATTTTCATATTGTATCGTAAATTATTGAATATTTTACGGGAATTGGAAGACGACGTTAAACGTGTACTGGTAAAGCTCACTTTATGGGAAGCAAATATACTATGGAATAAAAACAAATAAATGTTACGAAATAAAAATGTCTATTATGGTTTTATACACGTTCGAAGTGGGAGCGATAGGTATACCAGCGAAAACGTAATTATTGGACGCTCTTATGGATACTGATGCTAATATCGCTTTGGTATAAGTAGGTAATAATATGTTATCTGTGGCATGACTACGGCCACCTTTTACCATCGCACCGCTCGCCATCGACAGGGAATTCAGTCCCACACGCTGGAACCTAAGTGGTTTCAGACAGTGCGGTTTCAGAGGAGTTTTCTCCCGCGTACACTTAGGTTGTGGAATGAACTTCCTGCCGAGGTTTTCTCACGAGACTACAGCATGGGGTTTTTCAAGAAGGGTATATTAAGGTTTCTTAAAGGTTGGCAACGTGCACGTGACACCCCTGGTGTTTCAGGCGTCCATAGGCTACGGTAACCATTTACCATCAGATGGGCCGTATGCTTGTTTGCCACCATAGTAGTATAAAAAAAATATGACTTATTTGCCATATAAGTGTAACTTAATGGACTGTATTATTTTGTTGTTTTCTGGTACTATTAGTATGACCACAATCATCAAGTCAATGAATAAAGTTGAATGAAGTGGACTTCCACAAAATAACAACATCTAATTCCATAAAACATAGGTCTAATTGGTGGCGTCAGGGAGTAAAAATATACTGTGATAGATTCTCCAAAGTGTTTATTCCTGGAATTTATACTACAGTAGTTAGTAGACCGATATTAATAGTACAGAACGCTTTGAAATGAAGTAAAGATTGCGCGTGCGGTGTCCATGGAGCTAAAATCAGTTGCTGAGCGGCGGGTAAATCCTATGACACTCTGCGATCCCGGGTCTCCCGGGGGCATCAACGCTGTTTATGGCTTGACCACTAAATTTAAAATATAATACAATATTTTATTGCAATAATTAATTATCATGTTAGGGTTAAAATCGCTACCGGCTATGAATTAGAACCGAGCACCAATGTAGCATCATAGTGCAGTAATTCAGTTAGTTATGCTTTGCGGCCGCAGCCTGATATAAACAAAGCCTCTTTGCCTGAAAACTCAGTGGAAAATATAACGTAATACAACGTATTACTGTCTGAAATATTTCAATACTAATGGATTGAACCAATTAGGGTTCAATCCATTAGATGTAGTTATACAATTTTGAATTCTATTTAATAATGTAATTAGAATAGAAAATCATCTGTTAAAAAGTGGTTATCATCGCCTATGTATACATAAACAGAATTTTCGTTATTTACTGCAGTTCTAGACAGGCCAAGATCTTTTAGAAGATTCTAGATATTCTTTATACCTCTCGCTCCCACTTCAGCTGCATATAAATTCACCACATTTTTTCGTTAATTCGTTTCGTCATTTACTGCAGATCTAGACAGGCCAAGATCTTTTAGAAGATTCTAGAAATTCTTTATACCTCTCGCTCCCACTTCAGCTGCATATAAATTCACCTATATTTTTTCGTTAATTCGTTTCATTATTTACTGAAGTTCTAGATAGGCCAAGATCTTTTAGAAGATTCTAGAGATTCTCTATAAATCTCACTCCCACTTCAGCATATAAATTCACCACATAGCTGTTTTTCGTTAATTCTTTTCGTTATTTACTGCAGTTCTAGAGAGGCCAAGATCTTTTAGAAGATTCTAGAAATTCTTTATACCTCACGCTCCCACTTCAGCTGCATATAAATTCACCCACATTTTTTCGTTAATTCGTTTCATTATTTACTGAAGTTCTAGATAGGCCAAGATCTTTTAGAAGATTCTAGAGATTCTCTATAAATCTCACTCCCACTTCAGCATATAAATTCACCACATAGCTGTTTTTCTTTAATACGTTTATTTTTTTGTTTTAATGCAAAACATCTTTGGGTGAGGCCTGCCTTCAGCAGTGGACGTCTTCCGGGCTGAGATGATGATGATGATTGCAAAATATATTTTTTATATATTTAGTTAA